CACGTGATAAGCCACATCGTTGAGATTTGTGACCAGGTCGCTTTTGAAAAAAGAGCTATATAGCTCAACGTGCCTTACCTGGTAAAATAATAAAAAACGTGTTTTAAAGTTTATAGTGTAGTTTTGAAGTTGTTAAAGGCTGTCATCGCTGGCGTGTTCTTTCACACGTTTGGCTACAGTTCCGTGAGCAGTCTCGTCCACGAAGCGTGATCACAATCGCCATGTCTTCTAATCGCGATTACGTGCCCTCCTCTCCAAACCCACTCCCTCTTCTCATGGGTCCAACATAATGCGCACTAATTTGCCCAGCGTGCGCCTCGATCAGGAGCGTAACGAGCGTGGGGGCAGGCACGACGGGATGCCTTGCCTCACCCCTCGGTGGCCAAAGCTACGAGTTGGGGGGGGGGGGGATGGCCTTAACAAGCACCATGAGAGATGTTTTCAACAACAATGTAAAAGAACCAAAAAACGCATTTAAAACGGGGTTAAATACTCACTGGTTCTTTCGGTAAAGTCACGTAGATATAAACAATAATAATAATAAAAGAACACGACGTTTCGGTCACAACACAAGCTTCAAATCAGGATTGAACGGGGTTAAAAATATATTTTTTAAGAAATTGCTTTCATTGACGTTCCAAGTTTTATTTTAATTTAATTAGAACAATATTGGGAGCCCCCACCTAACCGCTTGGCGCAACCCCTGAGCTGATAATAATGCCGTGAGCTCCGCCACTGGCCCCAACCCTAGTGCGGATCTGTGACATTTCCACCGTGCGTGCGTCTCTCCCTCCATCCTTCGTGAACGCTTCGTGCATTTGCGAGTCAGAATAATCGTTCATTCGGTCATTCTCTCTGTGGGCCGGCAAAATCCCATCACCACCTCCACGCGGTGCCGGCTGGATTCCAACCAACGGTGAAGGTCTTTGGCGTCAGATGGAGCGACCCGCCGGCCAAAGTATTTCTGTGTCGCATCTATGGCAACGTCAAATCAACTTGGAACAAGCTAGGGCGCCCCCCGGGGGAAACGCGCGCCGTCCTCGCCCAAACGCCGCGAGAAGCAAGACATAAAGACGGTCAACGCATCCCCTGAAGATGCCCTGGACCGAGCCAAATGGAGAAGACAATGCCGAAAAGTGGACCCTGCGCCACAGAGGGAACAACGCTAGGAAGAGGAAGGTCATTCTCTCTGTGAATAAAAAGTAAGCGGTGCTCTGGGGGGGAGGGGGGGTAGGGCACATCGCTCGCTAGACGGGAACGATGTCTGATGGACGAATGGCAGTCGAAGGGAGGGTGCAGATCCGTGGAGATGGAGCGATGGGACCAAACTCAACGAGCAGGAGTCAGAGGGAGTGTGGCATTGCAGGATCGTCGGAGAAGGAGACGATTTGTGGAAGACTTCATTCAGCAGTTGATTGATCATGGCTGACGATGATTTGCAGTATACGCATGCTGCTATACGTACAGTACAAGCACGGGTGCTCCTTGCCACAGCGCCACGTGCAGCAGTCGGTTAGGAGGGGTAACGACGCGTCGATCAATCGATGATGATGGTTATCGTGTCTCGCTCCAAAGTTGCACCCTTCAGCCAACAACGCATCGATTAATTGATGATGATGTTTTTCACTCCAAAACTACACCCTTATACCCAACGACCCATCGATTATTGAGTGATTGTATCTTTCACTCCAACGTGACATACGCCGTTATACACAACGAGTCCTCAATTAATCAATCTTGATGCATTTCACCACAATGCTGCACCCGTATATATTCCCAGCGACGCATCGATTAATCCACGATCATTATGACGATGATGTATTTTCGTACCAAGGCTGCGCGTTTATGCAATGACTCATTGATGAATCGACGCGCGCGTCTTGCCCTCCAAAGCTGCACATTTACATATTCCCAACTACTCATCGATCAATCCACGATGATGATGATGACGACGATGATGACCACGGTGATGACATTACAACCTTATACGTAAATGATAACTGCTGAAGTGTGCGCGCGATCGTGCGTTCGTGCGTGCATCCCGTCCAGTTCCCGTGCCACGAGAGATAAAGGGCGACTCTGATGCCCTTGCGTTGGTCGCAGCGGAGACGCGAGCTATATATTTTTTGTGGGCACGCACTTAAAAACCGCGAAGGCGAAACGACAGCAAACGAAACCCCCGCACCCCCCCCAAAAAAAAACTGGCACGTGGCGTCGCGCGCACAGCGCCCGTGGGACTACGCCGCTAAAGATCTCACAGATCTCTCGTGGCGGATGACGTCCGTCGCCCCCGCTGCTTGTCCGTCGAGTTTAGTGTCGAGAGAGACGACGTGAGAGAGAGAGCGGCGGGGGGGGGGGGTACGCAGCGAAGGGACAGCCCCGTGCGTTGCACGCGTTGCGGCCAGAGATAAAGATCACCCGTGTAGCCTGTAACATTAGACTGTTGGGCAGGTGCTGTTAGCGAGCACCTAATGAAGGCCGAGTGGCGATGTTTACACACTGCACCAGGTACGCATTTGAGGCTGAGTCGACCTAGGAGTGGTCCAGGACCGATTCAGATAATCGTCGACCGGTGTTGGCCGCGAGCGGGAATCGAACCCGGGTCGCCAGGTTCGTAGTGCACGAACCGCTACACTACCGCTCCCAGTGTGTCCAGGGATAGACACACACAGACCCACACAGACCCACACCGCGCCGAATTCCCCCGATGACTGTCGGTTTGATGGAGCCACTGCCAACACGACCGCTATCGCTTCGTCCCAGTGGCTCGTGCCTCTCGCTCTCTCCTCGCTCTTCTCCAGCACTCGCGTGCGCGCTGCGGAGTATAGGACGGCACGGCTAATCACCCGTGTGCCATCTCGACAGCTACAGCTCCGTACGGTGCGAAGAAAGTTCTACATGCAACACATTCCTGCGGAGGGAGCTGGTAGGAACGTTGGGTTGCTCGGTCAATGGCCAGGGTCAACGGCGGCGTGGTGTATTTCGCAAATATGCCCGACTGTGAGGGCGGGCACAAGCCGGCGTGAGTAGGTTAAACGTTGAGTTTTATAAGGGCACCACGGGGTGACCAGCCCCTCCCATCCCCCACCCAGCCCCACCCTCCCCATCCAGCCCCTCCCCACCCTCCCCACCCAGCCCTTCCCTCCCCACCCAGCCCCTCCCTGCACTACGGACGGACGGACACAATAATCCCCTGTGGGCTGGTGTAACCAGGAGGTTCCTACCAGTATAACTTCATACTCGACCGCCAAATATATCGAGATCAACCATGGTCAGTGCGCTGCGAGGTGAGGGCCTTCTCCAAACCGTCTCCACCTCTCAAAATGTATGCCAGGTAAAAACTTGATTTGGAGCATTCGTGACTGCAAGAATTACTGTTTGGTTCTTTCGGTAAAGTTACGTATAAATAAATAAATAAATTTAATAATAGCATCCGACGTTTCGATTGCAACACAAACAATTATCATCAGGCACAAATGAAAGAGAAAACAAACCTAGTAAACTTAGAAATATATGCAATACAACACAGAGAGTCGGCGAACACAACAGTCAACACCATACCTGGTTGATTACGTTCTTCCAAAGATTGCTAAATTTGAGAGAGAGACAAAACACAGACACACAGACACACAAGCAGAGAGAGAGAGATATAACACAGAGACACACACACAGAGAGAGAAACACGCACATAGGCACACTGATAAACAGAGAGAATGCCAGGTAGACAAATCCCCTTGAGCGCCTGCACGTTAACTGATTTCATCATATCGCTCCGTCTCTCCCCGTTGCACGCACTATCAGATACGTGTCACCCAGGGCTGCTGGCAGTCGGTTATTATAATTATCATCATCATCATCATCGGCCACCATCCCTTAGAGCGGAGTCATTTCTCACTTGATATTTTCCGGAACGCTTCTAGGCTGGCTTAGAGCAGGGACCATCGGCGCAAGCACTCCCAAGGGTACGGTAATTCTATCCGTGATAATTGTATGTTATTTTGTGCTCAACATTCCTGTCATCCCGACGAACAGATTTATAAATATTAGACGGGACAGAATGTCGCGATATGGATGTGGGCAGGGTTAAAAAATAAATCCTGGAGCAGCGTTCTGGACTTCTCCGGATGAAATGGCTCACTGAATATCGCTCTGTGCTCCTCCTCTATAGCGTCCCCTTCAAAAAGCCTACCGCTAACCCACAGCTGTCGTTTTCGTCCCGCAACAGTCGGCCCATAATGCCCGACTCTACAGCCACCTGTCTAACGAACGTGCGCGCGTATTGATCAGAGAGGCCGAGAGGTGAGAGGATGGTGGTCGTGGCGGCGAAGCGACGGCCTGTTCGGGGAAAGGGAGAGACTGAGAGGTGGGGCACACGCCACGGAGACACAGACAAAGATCCCCCGTATAGCCTGTAATAGACTGTTGGGGCAAGTGCTGTTAGCGAGCACCTATGAAGGCCGGCACGGTACACGAGGAGGCGGGTGGCTAGCAAGCACGCCCGGCCGCCTTTGTCTCCCCAGTGGCGATGTTTACACAGCGCACCAGGTACTCATTTGAAGCTGAGACGACCTAGGAGAGGCCCAGGACCGGTTCGGATACTCGCCATCACTGGTGGTGGCCGTGAGCGGGAATCGAACTCGGCTCCCCGGGTTCGTAGCGCCGCGCGCTGATCGCTATAGACGCGCGCGCGCACACGCAGCCCCATGCGTTTCAATGCGCACACCTTCCCTCGTTTCCGGGCGGCGTATAAATTCGCGAACGAGTGTTAAGTGGATGTGCCCAACGCTGTCCGCTATTGTGCGCGGAGCATAAGCTACGTGGCCCCACGCTCTCTCGCTCTCTCTCTCTCTCTGGCTCTCGCTGGCTCTCCTACCGGTCACGCCATCCTTAGCCCAGACCATTGCCACAATCCCAGCTCCAACCACCCCCCACCACCACCACCACCCCCCACTCCACCCTCCCCTAAAGCCAAACCCCTCTAGCCCCGTCCGCAGAGCGCGGCGACACGAGACCCAACCGGAGCCACCGCTGCTACCACCGCCGCTACTGCTGTCAAAATGCGCAGGGACATCCTCCTGCGGGTTGCCTGTCAGATGTGTCCGCGCATCGGACACTAAATATAACGTGAGAACATTTCTCTACCGGCACGCACACACACACACACATGCGTACGTACATACACGTGTGTGTGTGTGTACGTGTGCGGTTGTGGGTTTGGGGGAGGGGGTCATAGTTCGTGTTGCGCGGCACCGTCGTCCGTATCTGCGTAAAGCCGATTTGGAGTCCCGGCTCTGGATTTACGCGCGAGGAAGGGGATGGATGGCCAAGGATCGGATCTGAGCGCGCTGCGGTGAGTAAAGCTGATGCGTGGTGGCGCTCGCATTCATACGGCCAGTCGGCGTAAGGAGGGTAGCGTGCACGTCTCTCTGTGTGTGTGTGTCTGTGCGCGTGTGTGTGTGTGTATCTGCTTGTCTCACTCTGTCTCGTTTCTTTGTGCGTGTGTGTGTTTGTCTCTCTCGCTCTGCGTGTGTGTCTGTCTGTCTGTCTCTGTGCGCACGTCTCTCTCTCTCTCTCTCTGCGTCTCTCTGTGCGCGTGTGTATCTGCTTGTCTCACTCTGTCTCGTTTCTTTGTGCGTGTGTGTGTTTGTCTCTCTCGCTCTGCGTGTGTGTGTCTATCTGTCTCTGTGCGCATGTCTCTCTCTCTGCGTCTCTCTGTGCGCGTGTGTGTGTCTGTCTGTGCGCGTGTGTATCTGCTTGTCTCACTCTGCCTCGTCTCTTTGTGCGTGTATGTCTGTCTCTCTCGCTCTGCGTGTGTGTGTCTGTCTGTCTCTGTGTTCATGTCTCTCTTTCTCTCTCTCTGCGTCTCTCTGTGCGCGTGTGTGTGTCTCTCTGTGTGCTCGTTTATGGATGGGTGTCTCTATCTTTGCGCGCGGGTGTGTGTGTGTATCTCTCTTCGTGACTCTGTGTGTATGCGTGTCTGTGCACGTGTGTGTCTCTCTCTGGGCGTTGTTCTCGGTGTCCCTCTGTGTGTGTCTCTCTGTGCCTCTCGATCTATCCCTGTGCACGCGTATTTCGCGCTCTCCCTTCTCTCTCTTGCTCTCTACATGCGCGCGCTCGTGTCTTTCTGCGTGTAAGTGTATCTCTCTCTCTGTGTGTGCCCGTGCGCGCGTAGCTGGGTGCATGTCACTGCGTCTCGCTGTGCGCTTGCGTGTCTCTCTCTCTGTCTGAGTGCACGTGTCTGTCTATGCGCGTGTCTTTCTGTCCGTCTCTCCTTGTGCTCGCTTGTGTGTGTCCCTCTGCCTCTCTGTGCTGGCGTGTGTGTACGCGTGTGCGTGTCGCTCTGGGGAGCGGAAGTGTAGCGGTTATCGCGCTGCGCTGTGCTCCAAACCCGGCGACCCGAGTTCGAATCCCGCTCACGGTCAACACCAATGACGATTATCTGAACCGGTTCTGGGCTTACCCCTAGGTCGACTCAGCCTCAGATGAGTACCTGGTGCGGTGTGTAAACATCGCTACTGGGGAGACAAAGGCGGCCGGGCGTGGTGCTGGCCACCCACCCCCTTGTGTGCCGTGTCGGCCTTCATAGGTGCTCGCTAACAACACTTGCCCCAACGGTCTGTCAAGGCTATACGGGGGATCTTCGTCTTTGAATGTTGTGTGAAGCGGTGGTGTAGCGGTTAGCGCGTTGCGCGATGAACCTAGCGGCCCGGGTTCGATTCCCGCTCACGGCCACGACCAATGACGACTATCTGAACCGGTCCTCGGCCTCCCCCTAGGTCGACTCAGCCTCAAATAAGTACGTGGTACGGTGTGTAAACATCGCCACTGGGGAGACAAAGGCGGTCGGGCGTGGTTGCTTGCTCACCTACCCGCTCGTGTACCGTTACGGCCTTCAAATGTGCTCGCAAACAGCACTTGACCCCAACAGTCTGTGAAGGATCTAATGTAGGACCTTCGTCTTTGTGTGGCACTCTATGACTCTCTGCGCTCGCTTGTGTTCTGCCTCTGCCGCGTGAATCCTCCGCGAGTGTACACGAAGCGTTGGATGCTTCACATAATCTGTCATCGAAATAATGAGGCCGACGGGCATTCTTTATCCTTACAAAGCACAGGCGCGCGGCATGTTTTAGTTTTCGTTTTTTTCCCTTTAAAGCGAGAGTGTGCGTGCATGCGTGCGCGCGTTCACTGGCAGGAATACGTCCGAGAACACGAAGACAGGAACGTCATAGTATCCGTCTGGAGACGCCGTGCGTCTCTCCTCGGGAGCGGGGACATGAATAATAGATCACGTGTTTGTTTCAATTATTCATACTATTACTATTGTCATGTTATGCACTTCTCTGCATGGAGCGGTGGCGCGGCGGTTAGCGCGCCCGCCGCTACGACCGCGAAGCCAGCGGCGCGAGTTTCGTTCCCCGAGTGACATTCGGGTCCCGAGTCGCACACCGCTGCCGCCTCTCGCGGTCCTGCCGCGTGAATGATACAATCCACCTATCGCCTGCACGTAGACGTGATTTAAAGCGACACCCATCGATATCCATTCATCCGTACATCGATATCCATCTCTTTTGTTGACGTCCTCTCGTTGACGCGTTCCATCCATTGGCTGCCATTCCATTATTACTCTCGCCCATCCGTTATCATCATCATCATCACAATCATCATACCTAACAGCGGCACGTCGTGTCCAAGCCACACTCGCTGTTCTTAACATTTTGAATGATGTCAATAAACCCTGCTATGTATCTTCTCCAATCCAAATGTGCTCCTCTCTCTGCGACCACGTCATTGCCGTGTCTACGAGAACGCTCGCGGTAGACTGTGCGAGGCATCTTGTGATGTTAATCGCAAGCGATCGAACGCCTTAGAGTTCGCTGCCCGGAGTAGCCCTAAGTCCCGTGCCGTGATGAATGTTCCGCGAATAGAAAGCCAAGATTGAACGGGAGCTCAGAGTGAGAATAGCGGGAGCGATCGGAGCAGATTTACCCCGAGAATGCGTGCAGCTCTTTGAGTCAATCCACTGCTGGATGAAGACCTCGATCGCCATGCCGTTCTGGGTCGTGCAGGTTTCTTGCAACATACTTCACCACGCTGGTCAATACGGTTCGGTGTTGTCGCACGAGAAAAAATTAACTAACACGACATTGACCATTTGTTTCTATCCGTTTAGACTTTAGAGCGACACGCCGATGCAAACGATCAGCTCAATTAGCTCCACGCCTAACCGTGGATTTGCGCATCACGTGTGTGTCTATGTGGGGGGGGGGGGGGGGGGGTGGCCTCCCCGAGGTAAACTCAGCCTCAAAATGAGTACTTGACCTGGGGCGGTGTGTCAACGCGAGCACTGGGGAGACAAATGCGGCCGTGCGTGTGGCTGGCCGCGCTACCTTACCCGTTGCGCCGCGATGGCCTTAATTAGGTGCTCACTAACAGAGCTTTGCCCCTAGGTTCGCTCAGCCTTAAATGAGTATGCCTTGAACGGCGTGTAAACATCAGTGCTGCGGAGAGAGAGAGAGAGCGTGTTGCGAGCCACGCCAGCCTGTGCCGCCCTTAATCGATACCCACTCTAAGCACTTGCCCCAACAGTTTGTTCAATGTTATACCGGGGGGAGGGGGGCTCTTTTTCATTGCGGCATACCAATGATGACCTGCGTTTATTCACGAAAACGTGAGTCTCAAGAGCCTGCTAAGGAGGGTCCTGCTACAACTGGGACGTGTTGGCCACAGTGCCACAAAATGAGCAGTGCCCGGAAAAATTCCAGCGCGCATTCGAGAATAACTCTGGAAGCTCCGCACAGATGGATCCAATAAATATATATCCCCAAATAGAGTTGTAACCATTAGCCAGGGGGTCAATCCACTGCTGGATGAAGGCCCTCTCAAAAAAGCCGCCGATACCCTGGACGATCCTGCAATGTCATTGGAGTGATCCAACCTAAGGCACACGGCAAAAAAAGCCGATCCACGATTTTCATCACTCGCGCCATCCCAAATCCATCGCTCCGTCTCTCTCGGCGGCCCCGTTGCGTTCCGTCGGCCGGGCGCTCCTCGGCGTCCAGTTCTTTTAACCGCCGGCGTTTCCAAACGTTTTTGGGTTTTTTTCCCCTTCATCCCCCCCCCCCCCCGCTCGCTCCCCTCGTTCTAATTTCACACTCAAGCAGGAACTACCGGCCCGCTCGCTCTTGGCCAGGCGGGTGGTGGGGGGCGAGGTGGATTAACACGGTCCGCGTGCCGCCTGGGACGGAGATAACGGCTCCTGTGAATCCACAGAAGCGACCGTGCGTGCTTTTTGATAAGCAATAAGAAATTCGCGGAAGTTCCCCGCAAGATGTTTTATATTTGTTTTTGTATCGTCGTCGACCTATTCTTTATTCTCTCCTTTTTGTAAGCAATGTCGCGGGCACGAGGCTTTCTTTTTAGTTTTTTTGACATCTTCCAGGGCACAGCTGGGCGCTCCCATGGGATGCGTTTCCGTCTCAGATGCTTGTTCGGTGTAGGTTGCATTAGAAAGAACGCGATTGCGATGGGGGGCGGGGGGGGTGGTTTGCGAACTCGAAAAACGGCGTGGCGTCTGGTGGAGCTCCCCCGGCCACAGCAGCCTTAAAATACAAACGACCCGCATTTAGTTTTTTTGACATGGGGTTTCAAATGTACGCACACGAAGTCGAACACACTGCTGTAGTAGTAGCAGTATGAGTAGTAACCACACCTTTCCCATGCCTGTGTCAGTCACGTGGATTGTTTTTGTTTGTTTGTTGTTTGTGACCATACTTCACCACGCGCGTTAACAACAATACATGGTTGGCGAGTTGGTTGATGCCATCACTCGCCACTGAATCGGACTCAGGTTGGCGGGTTCCCATCACTGCCGTTGTGTGTGTGTTATATACTGTATATAATGGGGAGCGGTAGTGTAGTGGTTATCGCGCTGCACTACGAACTTGGCGACCCGGGTTCGATTCCCGCTCATGGCAAGCACCAGTTACGATTATTTGAACCGGTCCTGGGCCTCCCCTAGGTCGACTCAGCCTCAAATGAGTACCTGGTGCGGTGTGTAAACATCGCCGCTAGGGAGACAAAGGCGGTCGGGCGTGGTGCTGGCCACCCACCCCCTCGTGTGCCATTCTGGCCTTCATAGGTGCTCGCAAACAGCACTTGCCCCTACAGTCTGTTAAGGCTATACGGGGGATCTTTATGCTGTATATATAGACGACTACATGTGCTAATGCACGGTTGTAGATAACCCGAAGAGATTGTGTGGTGGTGGTGGTGGTGGTGGTTTATTATTGAAAACGTTGTGACCGTTTCAGATTTTATAGCCAGGCGACCTAAAGACCCAAAATGCGTTTG